TGTGTCTAGTCAAGGCGTTTTGCTAACTCACATGTCTCGCTTCATGTGGGTCTCATTTTAGCATTCTTTTTGAGTGATAATTTATCTGAGTGGCTTTGTTGCACTTTGACGTAGTTTTTTTATTTTCTGCTTTGCAAATACCACTCTAATTGTACTTGCCAATGCACTGTTAGTTACCATCTTCATGAAAAATGTGCTTTAACAACATTATTCACTATTAGCGCTAATAGAGCTATCAGCTCTGTCATTTATTAAATGAGTCAATCTTTGACAACCAGCAATGAATATACCTCTTTGACTGCTGATCTCGCTTGGCACACCAACATTGCAGTCACGAGAACGAGTGAGCGTTCTGTAGCCGAGAACCGTGAGCTCTACGATCTAGCACTTCGTGGGCTGCAGTGTCTATCCTCCTGGTCTGTACAAGTTCTGGACACTTTCACATGGAAGCTCGCTCATTGTGCGGACGAACACACAAACCGCGAATGCCCCAAAGATGCCGAGAACTACGAACGTGCTACTCGATACAACTATACTCCAGAAGAGCGTTGTGCTCTCATTCGACTTGTCACAATGATAAAGTCCGTTCAAACGCAGTTGCTGCGTCTTGAAACCAATTATTCGGAGGCGATTCGCCGATCCGTCTATCTTGACTTGCACGGCCTTCTAAACCACTTTCGTAACCTTCTCATCAAGGCTAGCAACAAGAAAAAGGAAAAAATCAAACTAAACCGATTAGTTCATGCGCTACAAGCTACCTGTGCTGATCAAGCTGTTGTTGATGCAGTGGAGGCGGACCTTCTGATGACTGGTTCTAGCAACAGCGTTGGTAAGTCAGGATGGGGAGGTCGACCAGTGTCAGCGAAGGCCTCGGCACAAAATAGCCTCACCTCGGGATCGAATTCGACATTGGCTAAGGCGGCTGAGTCGATGGCCAGCACTCCTATTCGTCGCGTAGGTCCCTCTTCCACGCAACTCTACTTAGTTCGCACCATGCTTGAGCTAATGATTGATCAGGCCTCCCCAGCTGCAAAGTATCACTCACTGAGGAAGGAACTTGATGGTACTACAATGGTTGCGATTGAAACCTTTCTGAAAAACAGCTTTTACTGGCCCTACCTCTTGAACTTTAGTGGTACGTTTGGTTTATTTGCTGTGGAGTTGGTGTGCTCATCTACTTCTGCTTTGTAGAAGCAGAGGGTTATCACTTTAACATTCAACTTTTTCTATATTAATTACTCCTAGTGAGGCCAAACAATCCCGTTTTGACGTGCCTACTTAGTCCTTTACAGTATGCTGCTCGATTACTATTTTGACTAAACTAGTAATGTGTTTCCTCGGTATAGAGTTTGACGAATTGTTCTTTGGGTTTACTTTATTGCAGGCACTTGGTTGCCTGTGATCTTCCTGGTTGTATTAGT